CGGGTCGATGGAGGCTGCATCTTTGATCTAAGCTGCAATGTAACGACCCAGGGAGGGAGCTGTTCCCTGCATGTCTATAAGCTTGGTGAAATGGAGCTAAAATAGCACGCCTCAAAATAGCAAATCGTTGAGCTTGAAAACTGGTGCGCAACATTGACAGACGAGTTCGAAAATTCAATGCTGCTTCAGTACAAAGTTTTGCACGAAGTGCAAAAGGTCAATGTGAAATCCAATTTCACCACACTTTCAAAATCAATCTAATACATATCGAAGGCAATTCTACACCCAATATTCAGCCATTGAACGGTGCTTCGCATGCTTCCCTCGCAGACGAGCGTGGACAGCCCGATGGCAACATGCAGCAGATCTTCCGCCTGGAGGTGGGAGCCCTGCCAGACATGCTCACCTTCACGCCCAACTGCAGCCACATCCTGGTGGCAAACGAGGGCGAGGCCGGCCGGGACGAGCACGGAGAATTCAAGAATCCAGAGGGGGGCGTGTCGGTGATCGACGTCCTCGGACTGCTGACAAGCCCCGACCCAGCCGACGCTATCAGAACTGCAAATTTCAGTGCTTGGAATGACCGGGCGGATCAGTTGTCTGAGGACGGGGTTCGATGGGTGTGGAGGGGCCAGACGAAGGAGGCTGAGAACTCGTTCAGCGCTGACCTGGAGCCAGAGTACATTGCAGTGTCAAAGGTGGAGTTGTGGGTCGTGGCCAGCTTGGATTGGATATACCATATCATTGCGAATCTTGAGAGATTACCATTTCGTGTGTGCCTACAAGTAAGGGGTCCAAGTTACCTATTCGTATGTTTTTTATGTGAAGTCTGGAAGTCTGCTTTCAGGTGCTGTTGGAGCGTGAGTACATGAATTCATGCCGATGATCAGCGAATCTCTTGCGACGCAATGCTTGGAGACTTTCTCTGCAAAAGACGGTCTTGCAGAAATCTGACGTTTTTCTTGTTTCGATATCAGGCATAAAAATTCAACATAATTGGTAGCTGTTCCCTGTTAGGCAAGAAACTATGTCGATTTTGGTACGCTTAGCGTCAATTTGACATTGGGCTCAGAAATCCCAACCCCCTGAGTGTATACATTCTTGCCTCTTGAGTTACTTGTGTTGTTTGCTTATTTTTTCGCATCGGAGGCTCCATATTATCTTTCCACAGCATAGAAAAGAGCTCGCGCACATTTGCTTAGGCGGGGTGCCCTTTGCATGACCTATTTCTTTCTCTCTGTAACAAATCTCAACTCCACCCCCTTCCTTAGCATGACTTCCTTAGCGTCAATCCCAATGTCGATGACAGGATGACTCAGCAACCTTGCGTAGCAGTGCTAGACAATTTCCAGGTGTCTTTAAGGAACGTAAACAGCAAGAATTGCATTGTGATTGTGATGCGCTGAAAAATGGGATGATAAAAACCATTGTGGGTGATTGGGACAGCCCCGTTGGCTGTCTATTGGGGTACTCTGGGGTTTTCATTGAAGTCTGAAACTTGAGGCTGGGTAGGGGTGGGTGGGTTGGAACAAGCCACGAGCAGTCTGCCTTGGATCCATGGCGTTTTTGTGTAATTTCCCACCTTATGCCCAACAGGTGTCAATTACATAATCTCTTAGCATCACAGGTCTGCCGCCCCAAACTCCCACATCCCAGCATCAAATTGACGCCAATTTGGCTTAAACATTCCAATTTCAGCATATTGCCTTCCCATAACTTACTGAAAATCGAGTGCCCGTGGTAATCGAGGAGTAAATTGATTAACCACGACAGCAGTTTGGTTGCATGTGTACCAGTGGGCTTGTAACCAATTGGCTACAAGCCCACTGGTAGAAAAGAAATTGCAACTCCGAAGTAGCTTCACTGGTTTGCGTTCTGATCAAGTTTTTGGTGATAGGATGGAAGCACCGCCTACATCAACCTGCAGGAAAACAACGCCATCGCCGTGATGGACATCAGCGCGGCGAACATCACATCGATACTTCCGCTGGGGTACAAGGAGTTCGGACCATCTCTGGCCGCTCTGGACGCGAGCAGAGACGACGGCGGGCCGAGCTTGAACTTTTGGGACATATCCACGACGTACCAGCCGGATGGCGTAGCCGTCTTCAGAGACAAGGGCAAGGTAGTGCTGCACGCGTTCTCACACGAAAATTTCTCAATTTTAGTAGTCTTCCCATGTTGGTTGGCCCACCAAATTGGGCAAACCTACAAATGGGATAATATGAGAATGTCCATTTAGTCGTGTATGGTACATTTCACTGGTAGAAACCGTCATGTTTGCGATGCCAACTGCGATGCCATTTTCACACAAAATGATGCCATCACAGTGATTGCGATGGCATCAATTTGTGTCAAATGGCATCGCAAGCATGCTGTTTACTACTAGTGTTTGTGGACGCCATTCAAGAGCCAACCATCATCGTCTGAATGGGGATCATCATAGCGTAGACAGTGTCAGACGTGCCTGTAGACAGTCTCAGACATGCAAATAGTTCTCAGTATCGACGACATCAATGCTAAATAGCATTCATGTCGTCGGCATTGAGGACTCCGCACGCGACTACGTATCATCATGGCGTCGGTTGTGGCGGTGAGGACATGTTTGGAAAGTGCCCAAACGCGAACTGCTCATGCGTCGAGGCGTCGACGCAGTGTGTGCCATTGTACATAGTGGTATGTCATCTGTCACAGGAGTACCTGGCAACTGCAAACGAAGGCGCTCAGTCCCACTACACCTGGCACGACCACAACGTGGGCGACTGGAATGACGTAACGCATGGGTCCAACGCGCTCGGCGAGATTGACCCTGCCACGACGCCGGCGTCAGTGAAGGCGGCTCTTGGAGAAGCTTCGGCTCTGGGCAACTTCAGGGTCAGCGAAATCGATGGACTTGCTTCCGGCACTGCGGAAGGGGAAAAGATTCGCGAGAGGTACGGGCGTGGCTTCGAAAAAGCAGCTGTCTCCGCTTTCTGTTCAAGCAATTCGCAAATCCCTGAGCTGCAAAATTGCAGCAATGGTTTTCATGCATTGTGCATCGAATCCATCCACAACCCACCGAACTGTGCTGGCCAGGCTGGTGGGGTTCGGCGCCCGAAGCTTCACCATCTTCGACACCAGAGACATGACGCCGGTGTACGACAGCAGTGACGACCTGGAGCGCCTGACCCTTGAACTGTTTCCGTGGTCCTTCAACTCGGCGACCCCCGGGCGCTTCTGCCCCACCATGGCCGACAAGGAAATGGACTTGAACGTGGACTCGAAAATAGTGAGGCTTGTGCTCAAGATCGACGATGATGAGGATATCGAAGCGCTGAGCGACCAGCTGCCCGACATTGAGGAGAAAATGATTACCAGCGCTGGGAAAGTGGTAAGAATGCGAGAATTAGCACCTTGTGGGGGAAGTGGGCGCAAGGCCAATGAACAATTCAGAAGTAAGTTGTAAATTATGTACTAGGACACGTTGCTGACGTGGTAAGTTGGTCTCCGCCATGCCCAAAAAGGCAATGCTGATCCAGCAAGCTTGGATAGATTTTCCTAGGACAAGCATATTTGCATTTATGCTGGATTTCCCTTTTGGAATATGGGCGTGTGAACTTATGTTTAGTTTTCGTTAGAGCACGTCATCAATACGCTGCATATGCCATTGGTTGCTCATAAGTCCCGTGCTTCCTACCTTGATGGGCATTCTGGTAACACTGCTGAGTTGGAGAACTTCCACCACCAGCAGAGCGGTTGGAAGAGGCAACAGTACCCAGGCCCCTAACACTCAAGCTTCAGCATTGGGGAACACTTTTCACTAGGAAAAAAGGGCAAAATAACACGTGTTCAAACGTGTACAAAGTTTACGGGTTTGTGTTATTTTTGTGTTCTCAGCGTGTAGAACTTTGATGAAATGTGTTTTATGTGTGTTCGCAAAAGTGTTATTTGCCGCTTTTTTCCTTAGTGTCTAAAGAACATTTTGTGGCGGAGTTTTTCGTGGGCATCGGTTCTGCCCGCAACGCTGCAATCATGCACTGGTGTGTCCAGAGGTACATGGATCCCAACACGCTGTCGTGGGAGGTGGAGGAGGCCAAGCGCCAGCTGAAGGACTACGAGGAGACGGACAGGCCGGAGGATCATGGCAAGATGAGGCCCTCCAATGCACTAACTTCACGTCCCGAGGACCTCGTTGACAGAAACTCGCCTTTGGGAGGACCAGAGCCTGAAACGCTGGCCGTGGGCGTCGTCGAAAACAGGTGGGCTGAGCAGCATCGCAGGCTATATGGCCACATATTGCTCATTCCCAAAAGAATTGGCCACGAAACGCTTGTTGGTACAATTCAAAACGTCTCTTGCAAGAGAAGATCATTCAATCGAATATGATTAGCCGCTGAAAAGTTGCAATAGAGAATGATCTGGGATGAAAAACAGATCGTGCCATGTAGCAGTAATTTGGTAACATTTTCATCATTCGTGGCGGTGCGTGGTTAGCTTGTTTTTTTTTGACTTGGTTGAAGAATAATTCCCCGGCCAAAAAAGCTGTGCATGCGCGGATTACGTGCTTCCCCAGAGTTTTTCTTATCAACACTAGCTTGCTGTGTGAAGGCTGCGGCGCCCTATCTCTGAAGAGACTTGCAATACTGCATGGCTTCCGAGGCATGTCAGGCAAAGTGTTGAGCCCCTTCGTGTCAGAAATTTCTTGACTATAGATCTGCTCATGGGATGAATCGATGGCTTGTCATTAGCCATATATCCCATATTCCTCTTGTAGTAATAGATGCACGTTTAACACTATTTTGGGGGACAATGATATAAGATTCAGTACTTTGCAGTACTTGCTTGTACTAATTTGTCCTGAAAGGGTGTTGTTTGGTGGAAAAGTGTGGGCACCGCGTCTGTCTCATTCATTCATAACTTTGTTCTGTTACACGTCCAATGGGCGCCACATTGTTTGCCGTATCCCTTCTTCTGTTGTGCAAGTCTCAGCAGCACCAAGGTGGCGTCCTGTCCCCTGTTTAATGGCCCTTTCCACGAGCTGCAGGAGGTTGCTCTTTTTGGGCGTGGAGAAGTCCAGTGCCGTCTTCGTGTACGACATCACCAACCCCCGGAAGCCGCTGTGGCAATCCGCGGTGTACCCCGGCATGCACAACACCACCTGGGCGGAGCTATTTAACGAGAAACTCATAACAGACGTGGACCCGGAAGCGGTTGAGTTCATCGACGAGGAGCACAGCCCAACAGGTTGCGATGGCCGCCATCGAATTTTCACGCAGAAAATGTGAAAGTCACAGAAAAGTGGTTTCCTTACGGCGCTGAGCTTTTCGGAGTGACTTCTCTCGCAGGGCGACAGGCTGTGCCCAGCGTTGTCCGGTGTTCTTCATATGTCTCTCGCATGTGATGGGAAGTGGTCTGTCATTGTTTTGATTCGTGTGGGTTTTCCAAAGCCTTGTATCAGCCCAGTGTAGAAAGGGCCCATGCCGATCAATCCGGTCCACAATCTTGGGGCCGACACGAAGTGATGCAAAATCTGATCAAGGTGGTGCAATCAACTCGTGAAATCCCAGTCGCTGTCCGTTCGCCATCGAGTATCGCATTTTTCAAAACTTTGCCACAACCCAACTGGAAATGTGGGCACAAGAAAATAGCGATCAGCGCCAGGTAGTGTGCCTAATTGGCCAACAGGGTGCTTGGAGGCGCCCTCATCATCATATGCTCTGGAACCGCTGGTTTACACATGGCGATAAACCAATGTGCTGGTGCGGCCGGGTGGCTGTCGCTGGCACAAAGTCCCCCCTGCCAAACGTAATTTTGTTTTCAAGCCTTGCAGTGATGAAACTGCTGAAAACCTCATGCAAGCAATGTTGGATGTGATGATAAATGTCCATATCTTTCAAGAGCTATCGCGCTGTTCTTGCCTTTTCACATTTGCATTCTGATTTCTATCGCCGTTCGCTCCGTCGCAGGAGAGCCGCTGTTGGTGGTCGCCGGCTCTTTGAGCGGCACGGTGTCCATCTACAGGGTGTCGAACTTCCTTCCTGTGGGCGCCAGCGCCCCGAAAACTTCCAGACGAACAGCTGGCGTCATAATCCCTACCGCTGACCCTACTACCACCGTTGCTGTCAATGCACGACTCATCAGCAAGGTAGAGCCAGATGATTAGAGGGAGTGCGCTGGGATTAATATGGCAGAAAGTGGGTGTCTCGGTTCCAACGCAGACCCACTGAGGCTGTGGGCAAGTCGCGGGGCATTCGTGTGCTGCACGGTGTGGGCTCACGTCTCGGGGTGATGAGGCCCACACAGGCAGCGGACGACCTGTTGTTCGGCGAGTTGTCCCATCGAGAGCTGGGGGGGGTCCTTTTTTGCTTTGAGAGCGAGTGCGGCGCCTGTCTCAGGTGCATCCATCAGCGATGAACAGGAGCAGGTTGTATAGTAGAGGCTCCTCGATGAGCGTGCCGTAGGTATTAATAAGGCGGGCAGTGGATGATCGACCGTTTTGACGCTAGAGTGTTTCTTCCAAAGTGCGGTTCCATTTCGTGGTCTGTAGATTTTGGCGCCGCGCCCTGCTGACTTCAGAGGGACTTGTGAACACCCTTGTGGCATAATTAGTGCGCTGAGCAGCTTTTGAGAGGGAGAGAGATGAGGTGACAGGTAAAGAGGATTCTTGCATGTCAATTGTCTTGTCCATTGATTAGATGCTGCCAGATTGCGTAGCTATGACGTGCACGAGACTGTGAGCTGAGCATGAATTTCCCGCGGGACACTGACTCAACGAAATTTGAACTCAATGATATTAAGTTTGCCTGAGAAGTGGGCACCATCGCCGAGAGAGGGTAACTGAGTGTAGCAATTGTCCTTCGGAATAACATCAATGTAATGTTGGAGAGGTCGTCTGATGGCGGACTGGTGATTGGACGCGGATTCAAATGGCTGTCTTTGGCCCTATGAGCATCTCTTGAGAAAAAGGTGGTACCAGTGCAGTGACCCTGCATATCGATCCGCGGTATACTTCTCAAAACTTTTTCCATGCTACCAGGCACGCGCGGGGGCATGCATGTGTACATGGGAGAAGTTCATGGCACTCGTGTGCAAAGACAAAGGCGCGCCGCATCAAAGCTAGCTCCAAAGTCCGTTTGTGCCCTGCAAATTAACATGAAGAATCAAACTGAACAATGTGCTATTGAATCACGCATTCGACACTGGCCTGTTTCGGCATACTTTCTCCCTGTGAAAGTTGCTAGTTAGCAACTTTGTATAGTGTCCGCGACGATGACCACGACGGTGGCTTTTGTGGCCGCCATGGTGTCCGCGGCAGTGACCGCGACGGTCTCTGTCCGCGACGTTCCCTTTTGCTTGGGAAGCGTCCCCAATAGCGACCGCGATAGTGTCCGACATGGAGCCAGGGTCGGGACACTCGGGTCACCGTCGCGGACACTCATTGCAGTGTCCGTGACGCGTTCGGAAAACTGCCCGGTGCACTGGTGTAGGTTGAGAAGTACTTAACAATATTGCGACGCGCTCAATGACTGCATACGGGCTTATAACACCTTCAAAGTCAGTGGACATGACCGGCCATCCATCATATCTGAATCTACCAATCCACGATCTCCCACACTAAAAAGAAATGGGCCAAAAACACTTGTTCAAATGTGTACAAAGTTTACGGGTTTGGATTATTTTTGTGTTCTTCGCGTGCACTACATTGATGAAATGCATTTCATATGTGTTCTCTAAACGTGTTATTTGGTCTTTTTTTTGCTCGTGCCATCTGCGCCAATGTCGAACGCTATTCTTCCTTTCTGCATTTATTTCAGACGGCGTTGCAACCCTTGCTTCAAACACACCTGGGGAAGCGCATGGATTTTTCGTGCAGCTTAAGGCGCAGCCAGACTGGCGGCCCCAGTGGCTATTCTGATCACAGCGCTGTGACTAGCCGCGGCTCCCATTATGCGGATGGATGCGCTAATAAAACGAGGTGCAGTCCCTATATAGCGCATCCCCGTGACATGGACAAAAGGGGGCGCTACTGGGGCCGGAGGCGCTAAAAATTTATTTGTTTAATGCATTTAATTGCAGTTTTAGTCATAAATAACACTTCCCACCATAAGAAGACGCAAAAAATTCCCATTAGCTGTGTTGCGGCCTGTTGAGATGCCAAACTGACCCATCACACGCGTGTACCATGTGCCATTGTTGTACAATAGTGGAACACCGTGTTTGGGGCTTGCATTGATGTTACACGGTGCCTGTCACAACTCATCACGTGGACTTGCACGGCAATGCCCGCATTATGAATGCGGATTGCGCCCAACCAGGCATGGGCTCATCACACCGTAGAGAACGGGGGATAACGGGCCCCCACGTTGAGCATTTCTGCAAATATCCGTATTGTGGATGGAGTACCCCCACGTTATCCAGCCTTCCCCCCGTGCAACCGCAACAGTTGAGGCGCAGCGGCCACCATCCAAGCAAATTGTGGGCCGCCGCCCACACCCCCACAGTGTGGCGACGCCTCAAAACACCATTTTGCGCAACTTGCACCACCCACACACGCTGGTTAAGACGGTCTTGCGCAGTGCTGCGAGTGCCCATTCCATGGTCAACGCCGGCCAACGGCCCAGCGCTAGACGTGCCGTCCGCTGATATGCCAAATTCGCGGAAACAATCGGCCACCACGGTGTCCGTCCTCCGGACACCTCACTTGGGTGTCCAAAGTAGTTTGAGGCCCCATTGCGCAGCGAAGCTGCATAAAGTACTGCAAAAATTGTGACAAGCTAAAATGGGGGCGCTATTTGGGGGCGCTATATAGGAAAACCCCTACCGTATACGATTTAGATCCTGTCAGTGTGATTTGCACTACTGCAAAGCGCTTTTCATCAATGCAGTAGGATTGAACCTGTCTCAATCAAAATTTATGGAAAATTGACAAAAGAGAGTCCTCTGTGAGATACCTTGACAAAAGGGGTCCCTCTGCGGGGGTGCAAATGACAAAAGGGGGTCCTCTGACTGCCCCTGTACATTAGACGTGTTGCCGTACCGGTATACCGGTGCCAGACCGACGCCGGTCTGCATCCCGGCCCTACCAGGGCAGATGACACTTTCTACCAGTTGTGCCTCTGCAGGAGACCCCCTTTTGTCAATTTCCCTCTTGGGTGTTTTGTGGGGATTTGTGGGGTCTTCTCGATATCTTTTAGCCGACCACCACTGCCCTTGGTGTACCCATTTAACTGCAACTGTTCTGCTTAAAAATACATGAATCATTATGGGCAATGACCTGACTGTGCTGCCGCTCCAACATTCATTGAAGAACGACTTTTGGTGCGAAATCTGAAGAGATGGCTTGTAGCCCTGAAGGCGTCACTTTCCCAAATCGTTAGATTTTTCGACTTTAATTCATTATGGGCACTCCAAAAACATGCATAATTCACCTGTATGACACGAAGGGGTGATAGTTGAGTCTCTGGGCATGTGATCAACAGACAAAGTTGACTTGCATTGGATCTGTATACATGAATCGAAATGGCTGCATGTTATCTTCCTGCCATAAGTGATCATCGAGACGCAATGATCGCTCAGTGCTTCGGGCAGTAGTTTGCAGGATTGTTTGAGAACGCGATTTGTGATTGGTGGGCTGTGTCCGACGGGAAAGGTCGTTGATGACTGTCGCAGTGCAATGAGGTGCATGCAAGGTAAGGCTTTAGACAAGATCGGACTTGGAAGGGCCTGACAAGTCCAAAAATGAAGTCCAAAAATGGCAGCCTGGCCATTTTTTGGATTGTGATTCTTCACAACTCAGGTGTGAAAACCTCGTTATGGCATTGTTTCTGCGCTCAGGGGTCACTGTTTCAAGTAGATGCTGCCAATGATTTCAATTCACAAAATATCTTTTTTAAAAAATCAAAGCGCTGGGGGTGTCCTGCATCTGCCAAAGCCTTCACCCCTCACTTTGCGTCGCCATGGCTGCGCTCGCCATTGGCGCGTGCTCTCCACTGCGGCTCCGATCTCCGCGGCTCCCTCCGGAGATCCGAACTTCATTTGATCTCGCAGGCAGCTCCGATCGCCGACAGATCTCTCCAGCAGCTCATATCGCTGCTTGGTCTCCCCTGTAGCTCCGATTGCTGCGACTCCCCTTCATACCCCGGCGGCCGCTGCGCCCTCCCATATGCGTCGCCCCTAGTAGGACCGCCGTGCGGTCTGGTGGCAGACCGGTTAGACGCCGGTTTGGCGCCCGTTTGACGCCGGTCTGATGCCCGTCTGGTGCCATACTAGCAACACGTCTGATGTACAGGGTACTGTCAGAGGACCCACTTTTGTCACAGATGAGCCACTTTAGGGAGAATATCTCAAACAGGACCCCCTTTCGCCACTTTCCCAAATTTATTCTATTCTGCCAAGGACTGGTTTCTTAGTGCTGTTGGATAATATGCACGAAAAGGCCACACCGTTAGGGCCTGGGCGCAGATACATTGGATTCAGATATTCTATCAGTGCACGTACCACTCCAAGTATCCAGAAATTTTGCGAGCTGTGAACACCTGGTCGATCAATTGGCTGCAAATGACATGTGTTCACGATCGCATAACCTCCCCGCCAAAACGCAGACGTCATTGAGAGTCCAGCTGGGCACAACGGCGTGAACGGCGTGACCGTTCGCCAAACGAATGGCGCCATTTATCATCTGATATGAGCTGGAATGCACACAGCGCGGCCATGACATTTGTCGCATGTTGCAGCCGCATCCAGATATATCCAAGACAGGCCTGGTTACACCGCAAACGCTCTTGGGCATAGATCCACACTGACCAATCCATATCGTATCCCAAACTCTACAACACCGTATGAAATCTTTTGTTTGTATTCAAGGAAAAAACGACCTGCGCCAGCTTCAACCACTCATTTCCAGGAATCCACAAAGCATTTGCACACCGTCGACGCCCAACCCCTGCGTGGCACGGGTGCGGCGCATGCAGTGCCCGCAGAAACAGCCCATGGTTATGCACAGGTCCAAGGCGATACCGCGCACTGTGTGCTTGCGCCACCTCCGCTCAGCAAAGCTCACCCCCAGTGGACCCCAACCTACCCTCTGCCGCTTCGTCTCGTGTCTCACCACCATCCTACCTAGTCAACAGTGGCTGACATAGCTATTTCTTATTCTCCGTGGCGCATGGCTCCAAGCCAGATATCCTCCACACCGACGTCGAGTCGAAGGTACATACAAAATCCCCATGCTCACATTATTGCTGCTGAATAGAGAGCGGCATTCGCCAGCGTCCACAGCCGCTTCCTCATGACTGCTTTGCGTCTCAGTTCTACGGGCGGGTCCGCTCCGCAACGGCAACACAAACAAAACTTCCCAGTTACCTTATACTGCATCTGATTGCAGGGGAAGATTAAGGGCCCAGGCACCTAAATGTACAGAACCCCTCACGCGCTGCCTGCAAAGAAGGAGGTGGCAGGCGCGAAGATTCAAGCCGCTCCGTCAGCGTACTCGGCCTCAGTGACGTCATAGTTTACGGGTATGTTCCAACTGCTCTTGGCCGTGATCGCCCTTCGCACCGCCTTCTTTTTGTAGTCGCTCGCTGTGAAAGGAAACGGAACAACATCAAGCCTTGTTTGCTCAGGAGCAGCGCAGCGGAACGGACATGGATTCCTATACAGGATGTCGCCTTGCCATGGCTCTCATCTTGAAAATTTGCAAGTCGCAAGACTTGCACTTGTTTAAGCAAGGTCAAATCATTGCCAATATGAGGTGTGCTTGGGAAATAAGGGAGCGGGAGATAAGTAGCTTTGACGCCGTTGCCTAACTATTCGACATCTATGTGAGGGGCTTGATTGAATTATCCTTCGAGAATCTTCGCTTGACAAGCAAGAATTTCAACTGGTCACCCAAACACGGGAATCATGCCATGTACAGAGCAGGTGCAAAATGTCCAGGAACGGCAAGGTTCCACGCAACATGATTGAATGCCTCCACGACAAGGGGTATAGTACCTATGTGCGTTTTCCATGACGTCAATATGATGTACTCGAAAGCAATTGAAATGACCATTACTTAACCCCGGAAAGCTAGCCATTTCTGTACTCCACCTCAACATGAATTGTGAGAAGCGGGGAAATCTAGGCCAAAACATTGCGAACATTGGGCCAAACATAGCAGAAGAACGTCCAATCCCGACGGTTGTCCAATACCTATCATTGCCGGATATGAAGGTTATGAAGGGGTGATCAAGGTAATGAAGGTCACTAAAATTCTAAATTCTAAAACACCCTAAACACCAAACTGACCTTCGTGACTTTTAAGACCATAATGAGTACATTAATTCATGATATCATGGCCTTCATCACCTTCATGACCTTCACGACTTCACGTCCAGGAGTCAAGGGTATCGGTCATTTGTGCCAAACCCATTGTGGCGGAAATACACACCTGACATGACGTCGCTCTCGGGCTTGGGAGTGAATTCCACCATGAAGTGGTGCTTGTACATGTGCACGAGGGCCGCCACCATCAACCAGCACGTGGCGGCACCGACAGTAACCCAAAAGGCCCACCCTGGCCGGGTCAGATACCCCTTCTCGAGCAATGGCCCCGTCTTCATTTCTCTGTGCGCCCCAATGCAAAGTACTGTGTACTCCAGGACAGAGGCAAAGTACATGAGAAACCTGCACCAGCAGCATAATCGGTTTGATTTCTTGGTCTCTTCTGGAATGTAGCTTCGGAAATTCCGAAAAACGGAATTGTTGTCGCCGAAAAGGGTGGCCGCCATAATGTTCCCCACAATGTCTGTTAGCCTCCAATCGTGGTATTTGTAGAAAAGTTCAAATGAGGCTGTTTGAAAAGGTTTCCGAATTGTGCAGAATGATGCAGGTACGGACAGGCATGAATAAAATGGGCAAACGTGATCAAAGGCCGACTAACGAGACAAGTCTCATTGGTGGAAAGTTTTCGCGGCCCCTGCACGATCGCGTCTGCTGCTATGCTTCCCAAGCGAGCCGTTAATGCAGCCGAAGCATCGACAGGCGTTTTGGGCTATCATCCCTCAATGAGGAGTCGAGCTGCTCGAATCGAGAACATCGCGAATGTAATCATGCGCATCTCCGATGCCAAGTTATTAGTCAACTTATAAGCGTGCTAATTAGCACTCTTCGCTCAGTTACCCTTTGTATTGGATCAAGAGGCAGCAGGCAGCAAACTCGAACGTTGTCTTGAGCATCGGTTAGTATCAAATTTCCTTTTGAATTTTATGTATTTACACAGAACTCCAGCAGATTCTGCATTCACGTACTTTGTTTACAAATCTTCAAAACAATAACTCTCAAATCGCCGCCTCTACACAAAGAATGCACGCCACGCAACAGTGCTTCATCTCCTGACCACTGAGCATGAGTTGAGACGCCGTTACACACTGCGACAAAGTTGCAGAAATCTTGAGATGCAATGGGATATCACGGAATGGAGAGCCACATCGTTGGTCGCCACTCACGCTGCAATCCAGCTCCTGGCAAGCCACCCAACCAGCTGCACATCTATGCCCTTCATGAACCACACGAAGAGGACGGCCGCCGCCAGGGTCGTCGATACTCCGCACACGATCACAATGACGGCGCCCATGAATCGCCCCGCCACCTTTTCATCCTGCTCATTTGCACAAAATCCAGTAACATCGGCATCAGCAGCACACCCAAATTGCGCCGCTAAAATGAGTAAATAACAATCCTGCGCCCAATGTCTCACGATCTCCTTCCACTTGAACAAATCTCGCTTTGCGTCCATGAATCTCATAAAATGGACAAAAGTTAGGTCTCCTGGGATTATCTGGCCATTCCGCCCAGTGTTTGCCTGCTGATAAACATCTGAACTTGAGGACAGAAAGGAGCTGTGCCACAATGCGGATGTGCTTAAGCACTGACAAGCTTGTCAGCGAGAGGTGGCTTTTGCTCCTCTGATTAGCGTGTAGTCCACTTCCAAGTTGGCGACAGAAGTCACAACATCCAATGGCCATCCAAACAAGTCTGTGAGAACCATTCACCTGATCCTGCCGGGTGCCAAGAAATTTTCCAGAGTCACCAGCGACCTGTGCTTTCAATCTGCATTTCAACGTGCATACTGCAACAGAGAATATGGCTCATGCGCGTACATTTTCATGTTGGACAACATGAAATTGCAAAAATCGAAGGGCTGGTAACGTTGATTCTGCAATGCAGGGTTGCAGGGACGCCCCATGGGGCATGCCGAAATGGAAGCAAACGCAGTAAAACACCAACAATCGCGCAGCCTCACGAATAGCAAAATCGACTCGCCGTAATTTCGTCAGCAGCTTCCCATAGCCATGGCCCTTAAGGCGTCAGGGCTCGAGCTCGCTGGTCGCAATGTCACGTATGCCGATGGAAGCACTTCGTGCACAATGGCCTGATGATTGGCAGCATGTCAAGGACAGAATGCCTTGACGAGATCGATTTTAGTCTATATTGACCAGGCAGCAGGCCCAATACAAGATATTCTTCCAACTGTTTGGATCAGATCAGCAGTGTCTTGGTGCATCAAGCAGCCAAACAGCTGTCCGATGCCCAAATTGCCCATTGCTCTGATTCCGACATTGCATATGGGCGTATTAGCGTACTGTGTATTTCATTCGTACTGCGCATTAGCGTATTGTGTATTGCGTCGTACTGCTTCATCGTTACCGGCGATCAGATGTTCAAAAATCTGCATACAAATATGCTCCCAGCGCCCCCTTGCAGGTGCAAGGGCAGTGTTTGTCACTTTAAAGTCACATTTTCTGGAAAACTTTTAGAGCCATTATGAAGCTGTTGCATTTGATGGAAATTTCCATCAAATGCAACTACAGAATTTGCTCTGCGTCAATGCTCACCTCATAATATGTGTATAAGGACGTCTGGCCCTTCTCGAAAACGTCTATCAGGTTCGATTTCTGGGATTCGTGTACCAACGAAAGGGCCACGGACTGGTAGAATTTGCTCAATTTGCTTTCTTCGTCTGTGTGAACCCAAATGCGGACGAAGCTGTTCTGCCAGCCCTGCCTGTTGAAGCAAAAATTACACCCATTGTGCTGTCAGATGCCGGCAATGAATACGCGCACAGACCATTGGCACACTAGATACCAATTAGTTAATCAATAAATGTATTTGTCTATGTAGATAGAATGACATATCGATCTGTCAATCAATTTACCTGTCTATCCATCAATCATTGCATTGGCCGAAATTCCAATTAAGATGCGTGAAGCATAAATTCAGCACTGCAGCTCTGCCATGCAGTGATTGCCGTCTTAGCTGCCATTGGTGATCTCATCGATAGTGTTTTCAAATCCACCAGGAACCAAGCATTCACGGATTTCAAGCCGCCGTGATGACCACAGCATTGCGTCTACACGGCAAGGCAAGGACGCTGAAAATGCTGGTAAATTTGAAAACTCCCAACTAGAGCGCTGGCGACTCTCACGAAACTGCTGGACCACCATGGTACAGAATGAATAAAATACGCTCAACCATTCTCTACGGAATCTCAATAATTCGTGCAACTTTGGCAACTTGTACACCATTTAGCGCAGGCAGAAAATCACGTGAAAATGCCAACTCTATTCGCCGTTGAGAGCCACTCCGCGCGCCACGGTAGAGTTATTCACAACTGCCGATATTCGAATCGACGACTCCCTTACGTTACGACAAGCGAGAAGGGCACTTTGGGAAGGTATCTGTCCAGCTCGTCCACTTTCGCCGGGTCGACTTTGGAGTGCTCGTTCTTCATGATCGCCAGTTTCAGGAGGCCGACATAGGGGCTCTGGTGCAACATGAGGTGCTCCTTGCGCCAGTACCCCCACCCGTCGGAGCGCCCCAGCAGGGGAGCAATCGACAGGGAGACGGCGACGCATAGGAGAAGGACAACGGCGGCGTCCGACACCTGAGCGAATAACCATGCACAATTGCGCAGCCATTTCACAGTTGTGTAGCAGTGCTGTTTTGTTATTACAGATATTTTACATAACATTTCGGAGTCCAGGTGGCTCCTCCGTCCTATCAGAAGATATGTGGGAAATTTGCCATCCAGAAAGAGAGTGCAAGGGTGTGTGGATCGGAATCCAAAAGTGTGCTCGATCTGAAAAAAGAAAATGGAGAAATTCAGCGCTCTGGAATAGGCACTGCCAGATTATTGAGTTGCATAACAGTTCCAGGTCCAATTATGAAATGCATTGTGTGTGCCATTGTACACTGGAGCCACTGATGCAGATTGATATGACGCCATGAGCCGTGGAAGTTTGCCTGGCAGTTGCCTTTCAATGACTTTACGCCTTTAAGATCCAAAACACACTACAGGACTTACACACAGCACACCCCGTCCGCCAGTGTGCCCCATTAGCGAGGTAATCCCTTGATATAACGCGGTGCACAGGAGGAGCACAAAAATAACATCTGAGATTGTCAACCGACTCGTGTATGTAACAACAGTTTCAGGCATCTCAGCCACCGACGCAGTTGCATCAATATGTGCCATGAAAATTTGTCTGGGTTTAGCCTTCAATAATTTTGGAACTCACTGGCACTACGCCCATACCATCTCTGCGACAGCCTTTGCAATGAGAGTATCTACCCAAAAAAAAAAAAGAAACAAGAAAGAAGGGATCGTCTGATGCTAGAGCTCAACATCCGTGCATGCAGCTAAACTGCCGGTGGAGATTGGTGAGCCAGCATAACGATTCTGAGTGGATTTTCAGTCAGGCAGCAGGCACAACGCGATCGTGATCACTGTTAATGAGCAATGCAGGCAGCCTTGACGTTGGCCAGCAGCAGCTTGCCTGGTTGCGTTTATGGTATCTGTTCGTCCGATTAGATGATCATGAACAAAGAATTCTATCAGGTGCAGCAATGTTCTTGACACACTGCTTCTCCGCCTTGCAGCTCGGGTTTGGGTTGTAATGAAAACCAACAGTTGTGCTCAAATGCTGTGATGTATGCTGGCAAAGTTCCAGCTGGAATTGTTTCCAATTATGCATTGTTTTAGCGGCCTGCATTCTGCCAAAATCTCCTAAAATTCTCTGATTTTGAACGTCCACTTTCCCAACCGTGTGGCGTCCAGGGAAATTTGCTCAGCCACTGCAGCTGGAGGTAGAGTGTCAGAGCCCATCTGGCAGGAGACTGCCCTTTCAGATGAACAATTGAACCCGAAGAGCAGCGCCTGAAACTGTGTGAAGAGCAACTTTGCGAGCGGCCACGAACTGATTTGATGCCTTTGCCGCAGGAACACGTCTGCCCTCCACACATCCCGCTGTACCGGATCCCACGTCGCCAACGGAAACCATACTGGTTCCCACTACCAGCTCAAGCAAGTGCGATTCTGCCCCGTTGCCTTCACGCGAGGCCCCATCCGGCACGCCAAGAATTGTCCTAGTGGGCCACCTGCCATTTGGTGGGCTATCTGCCCGCGAAGGGGGACACAGGGAAATCAAGCCATCAATCCGACGCCGGCGCACGCTCACGGCAGCTTCCAAGCTCGGAAGCGCCGCCCGGGCAGCGTTCGAAAACTGCGCATCGCACACGATCAGCCCCGCTTTCCCATGGCGCCCGATTCGTGGGCCACGCGCGCACCGCGAATGCGCAGCGCCCCTCACTCCAATGCACCCTTGCCACGAAATCCGCCTCGGGGCCCAGCTCCGCTGATCAGCCCCATCATGATTGGGACCCCTCCTCCCCCCCTCCCTACACCGCAGGTGGACTGCGACACCCCATCGCGATCTTCCACCAATCCCGTCGCCCAAATTCCACCAAGGACCCCACGTACGCGCACTCTTCCGAACTTCCTCGCATCACCACGTCAAACCCGGCCCTTCCCCCACTCCCCCACCGCCCCTTGGCGCTCCTTCCACTCGCCTATCCTCCCTTCCATTGGCACCGCTCACCTTGGAGCTGCCCACGAGGCGCCTGCAACCGCAGTTCGCGGGGGGCCGGTCGCTCGACTCCACCACTTCGATGGCGATGGCCATCTTGTCCAATACACGGGTGTCCATCCCCATTCCCGGCGGCGTGTCCCTTCGCGGTACGGCGTCCTGTAGCCCTTGCGCCATGCTGCGCCTCTCAGTGCCCAGGGGGGGGACCGCCCTCCTGGATTTTTTCTTTCTGAGGGAGGCGCGAGGCCCGCCTACAACTCCGACGCCCTCCGCTCATTCATGGCCATGGGGCGGGACATCCTGAATCAGGATTCCTGATGGGACAGCGGCTGCTTATCGTTCATTGAGGGTTCTCACGTGCTGAGGCGACAGGGCCTGTATTTTGGATGCGATGGTCAATCAACGGCGGCGTGGCGTTCGATGATTGGAATCGGCAATCGGGCGCATGCGCTGTCAGTCGATCCACAGTCACGTCGATGTGACGACGTCGTGGGGAATGGTGGAACGGAACTTCGGCGGGGCTGGCAGTCGCGGCTCATGAATGGAACGCCTGCGTGCTGGCCGTGCAACGGCAAGGGTTTGTCCCGTGTAATGTGTACCTCGCGAGCTCGCGAGGTACACATCGCTCGAGCCATTTGCGGTGCGCAGGACAAGCCTGCTCGATCTGGCTTGCCATGGCAACCGACAGGCAAGGCCAGTGGTGCTGGCGCAACATATTGCCAGTACACCTTTGTGCTAGTGCAACGTTAGGCAAGCGCCGCCACGTACCGCGCGGTGGTGTTTCAGGGACCGCCTTTTCTGTTGTGTCGTGCGCCGCTCGGTGCCTTCGTGTGTTGCTTGGACCAGGCCTCATGGCAATGAGGCCGGATCAGGCCCAACACAGAAAGCCACCCACTGGCCACTGTGTTCAGCTCGTGAGTTGAGCACCATGGATACCATCATTGCGATTCGATGCACCTGGCAGTCGAGCTGGAGAATCCTCGCCTGGATGGTCGAATCCAATGATTCTCTCACTGATTGCTGTTCACTGTTCACGGCTGAGCGCTTGAGCATATGCATGTGAAGGGGCATGTGAGGATGCTAGAATGCCACATGAAGCCCCCTGCCGTTACATCGATCAGGCCAAGCGGTCAGTGTCCGGCCCCACAACGCGAAGCCCGAGGGACCAAGGAAACGCGAGGGTGGGCGCCTGCATCGCATTCCACGTCAATCGAGCGGTGTCCATTGGTGATCTCATGCGTTGGCAATTCGGGCTTGATATGATTTCTTCAATTATAATGGCGGAACGGGCAATGCACGAATGGAGACCATCATGGGGTATTTCCATTCTGGACTGCCAGCCACTGCAAAATACAAACAATTGAAACCGACGGAGAGCTCATCGTGCACAATGTGGCGTGCCGCAGGCTGATGCAATGCTATGGCTCCTGCGTGTTGCCAAGTTTGAAGCGGTTGTTGACAATATATTGGCAATAGCCAATTTCGTCGTTCAGGTAGCTATGTGCATTTTGCTTCCAGCGTACTTTCCTGTCGTCGTTTAAATTCATGGCGATGTGAAGCCGCTTCTAGCAGCGTTTCTAAAGCCATGCACCATCAGACGCGCCACAGCAATGGGCATTCAAACTGCACCGAATCGTCATTAGTCCGGCGGCCAATTTTTATGACTGGGCTGTAGGTATTTGCAACATATCGGCAGTATATTGGCTGACCGCAAGGCCGGCACAGGGGTGGTTGGGTCGATGGCGCCATCTGCCATGCTTAGATGCGAGGTGCACTGCGGTGCGGTGCACTCGGTGAACCAGTGGTCCCAATGGTCCCAGCTGTCACGTCCTTCCTGACGAAGGCAGTGTGGGGTGTGTGGGGGCTGGGGTCTGCAAAACCCAAATTTGGGGGAAGTTTACCAAATTACAAACTAAATATAGATTTATCCAAATTTACCAAATTCGGATCCAAGCCCTCGCCACTCGGCGGCCTTTTGGCAACCAGCGGTGCAATTGGCAGCAGCCTTTCAATGGTATATGGCGCAGGTGCGTTGAAAACGCCATTCGCACATGTTGCGAAATGGGCGGTGCGCCGGGGCAACAACAAATAGAGCACAAATAAGCGATTTGGGACTGTACATGCCCATCACCCCTTGCAAGTTGCGTGGCCCTCGCCTTGTAGTGTGAGGGAAAGTTCAATCCAACGGATTACGCCCACCTCTTGAGGAAAGAAATACCTCTATTCTGTCTAGAGAGATGTCAAGCTATGGGCGATTCCCGCCCAGGAGCGCACTGTGCAGCAGCCCTCACAAAGAAATGTGACAAATGTTGGGCAAGCCCCTTCCGGACAAGCGGCCTTGAGGGCCTTGATGCTCCGAAGTGTGTTCCATCCATTTGCACACATGCTGCACGTCATCGCACAGGCCCTTTGCCTGCAACCCCACTGTGGGCAAAACTCCGTCCACGCTATTTGTTCTGGAGTGTTCGTCCATCCTCATCGACGCAGACCAACTTCAGCGCCGCAGCAGATGTACAAGTCTCCCAGTTTGCTGAGTGAAGCACGCAACAATGGGCGGAATCAATGGCAAGACATGTGTGCTGAAAACTACTTCAAATTATTGTGCTGACCAACTTGTTTATCATGTTTGATTCCTTTTCTTGAATAATGGAGGCGAAGGAACGAGGCTGAAGTGAAAGGACGACGAAGTGGTGATAGTATTGATTCTTCGGCTACAATGAATAACAATTGCGCCATTTCAGCTCTTTGTTTGTGTCATACGTTGGATTTCAATGAACTGACCATGGACACTGCTTTGCTCAGCAAATTAGAAAGCTCACGGCTAGCTCCTTGCCTTGTTATGTGAGAATGAAGGGAATGATGACAGTAGTGATGCTGCAGCGAACTCAGCAATGTCATTGGGGAGTGTCTTTGCGCAGATGCGTGGGTTAGCCGTTGTACGACCAATACCGCCCGGCGGGGCACCCTGGCGCGATCAACAAGCGAATGTTCTACAGGCTTCCGAGAGGTGGTGACCCTGGGAGCGCCTGTCAATGGCAACACCGCGTTTTGTGTACTACGCAGCGGTCGCCAATCTTCGTCAGGTGCTACCCTTGCGTTTGGCGCCTTTGTCCTGACCCTTTTGTACGGGATGAACGGACACGTTTCCCACCACACATTGTCGTTGATCATAAAATGTTTGGCGAACAAGCGCTACTGCCATTGGCATCAATTTATTGCATTTCCAGGAGCTGTAACGGCCACAATGGCGACCCACGCCGCCTGCCTCACAATGCTGATTCAGACGTGGCCACTGCACCCCACGACAAACTCCTCCAGCACACCAACCCTGCAATTGACATCATCAACGCCGCCCTCCATTCCTCCCTGACAATGCAGATCAACTGAACTCTACTATCATTTCAACATCGCCCTCAGGCGGCCATTCTCTTTTCTATTCTACTAACCTACTCTCCTGAATGCTTGATGGCAGCGCCATTCTCATGCTCCTGGTCAGCTTCACACCCACCTTCATGTGAGCTTTCCATCTCTGCAAACTCCACTGACGCTGTCACCCGTCCAGCATCCACTCCCACTGCCACGTCTGCTACCTTTGTCACCTCCCCCTGCTCCTCGCTTACGACCGATGGTGTGCCCATCGTTCTGCCAATCCTCCTCAGCCCACTCGGACTCACCAAGCAATCCCTACCTCTCGGAGCAAAAGATCTTAGGCGGTTTAAGGTCACCACAGATTTGAGCGCCTTACGACCTTCCAGCTTTATACTGTCCTTCCCTATGAGGTGGGTCAACACCAGCATGGACATAAACGATCGGTGGCCGAAGTCCAGGCTCTTCCACTTCCTGAACATGGGAGTGTCAAGCCGGTTGAGCTCCGCAAAAGACATCAACAGCACCATGAACACTCGCCACAGGGCGTACAGCGCCCCAAGCACCAAGTGCACAATCGAAAACACGAACATGTACAGGAAGAATATACGTGGCCACTTGATCTTGTAGCCCTGGGACAGCAGTTTGTCTGGCAGAATGTGCAGCACCATCCAATCCACGACAGCGATCATCAGGTATACAACAACAATGTAGCCGAAGTATCTCATTACAGTATCCAGCTCGTCAACGTTGATGATGACGCCCAGCACAAGGGTGATGAACATGCCAAACAAGTTCAGCTCCACAACAGCAGTGCTGACGAGGATGCCAAGGAAGTATGCTGCCTCCCCAAGTGGGTATTTCTTCTCAAGTTCAGGCCAGGCTGAGACCAGGCCAACTTGACCCTGCAAGCCCTCACCATCCCAAGCCAACAGCTCAGACTCCACAGCCAAAGACAGGGCCTTGTGTTTGGCCATGACGATGTACAACGTGTGGAGTCCCTTCAACGCTCCAATGGGGTACCCCACCCAGACAGTGTGCCGCAGGTAGGGCATGAGAGTGTCCATATATTCAATCCCGCCAATGAAGAAGTCCTGGATGCTGTCATCTATCCATTCTGCGCCTTTCAGAAATGCCTCCAACTCGTCAATGTTTGCCCTTATTTCTGAGTGGTTGCTCTCCCAGTCAACAGAAACCCTGTACACCGAATTAATGAAACGTATAGTTGTGTACAGAATGACGATGATGCAAGCAAATGCAGATGTCTTCATCCACACAGAAAACCTAAATTTTCCATCCTCCTCCTTAACAGAGTCCCAGAGTACTTTGATTGTCCTGTGTGCGGATGCAACAGGGTCTGTGCAGAAGTGGGGCCCTGCTGTGTCACAAGGGCAGTCTTTGTGGGGCAAGTCTTGAGGTGCATTCGTTACACTTTCCACCGGGGCGCTGCGCTCCTTGTAGTTGCTGAGCAAAAGCCCTGTGTTCCATCTCTGGAGCTTGGGGGCTCTATTAAGGGAGGAACCGCCAGCAGTTGAAGCAAGGTTGCCTTCCTTGGCACATTCATTACCCAGAGACTTCTCACTGCTTCCCTCAGCAGGTTGTGCTAGCTTGAAGGAGCCCCTGGTGGGCACGGATGCCACTGTAGGCCTGGTGGTTGGGCCAGCAATCGCGCCATCGATAGGGGCAACTCCAGATGTCATATCGGCTTCTTTCGTGGAGGACATTCTTAGGAACTCCTCTGAGTGTGGGTCAGTCCAGGATAGTCGATTCCCTGCACCAGATTTGTCAGCACTGGCAGTTGGAGGGGGCCCCCCTTCGTTGTCCAGGCTCATGGACTGCTGCCATTTGTGCAGCCTTGGTGAGCCTGGATTGAAGCCTGGCCTCTGCGGCACCACACGCTTCACAAAGACACAACAGCCAAACAGGCGAATGAATAGGACATCAGCTGCCAGGGTGCAGCAGGTGGCCATGGATATCAGGAAGAAGTGGGCAGGTGTGGATGTCCAAACTCTCTCTGTTTCAACTCCCTCTGTCCAAACACTATCCCTCTTCTTGACAATTGCTGGGAGAGCACCCACTCGAATGAGCGAGTCTGCATACTGCATCACTGCCATCATATTCACAAACAGTAGGGACACAGATGACCACAAAGTCCTCCTCCTCCAGCCAGATGTTCCTGGAGGCCTCAAATTGAGGGACATGGCCCCTGAAGCAAACACAGAACAGCTCAGTTTGCCCTCACCATTGTCTGATAGGTGAAGGGCTGCATTTTTTTGCTCTGCATAAAATGACGACCCTTGTGTGTTTGTGTTGTGTGCATACGTACATGGATGGAGAACCACCATCGAATGGCAAGCACATGAACAATGGACTGTGGACAGCTGTTGTCAAAGAAACACTCACAAAGGGACAGCCGCGATCTGCAAAATCTATGTCTGGGTTTGCTAGAATATGGACAACAAGCCCAGCCAGTGAAGGGCACATACTTGATGACTGTGCAATTGGTGGTTCTGTGGCCATGGACCATTGGTTGGCAACCTGTGCTTCCAGCCCACTCACAAACTTGTGGATTTGTACAAGATGGGCTATTCCACCAAACACCACCAAAACTGTTCAGAAATGTGCAATGAAGAGAGGAGGCATGTTCTTTGCAATTCCATGGCGTACGATTGCCGTGAAAATCCGAGTCTTCCCACCCGGCACTGATATGCTCAAAAACAACCAGTGTTTGCTCACTGTTCCCAGATCAAGGCTCACAGGTGGTTGCTGCATGAGGGATCGTGCATTCCAACAGCAAACGCAGGGGACATTACTGCAAGGCTAAATCAGTGCACACACCACAAAGCCACAGTGAGAGCATTTCTTTGCACTATGCACAGGGCCCATGCATCCTATTCCAATGGATTGAATGACATGTGGCATATCTGTATGCAGCTCAATAGAAATGGCCCGTGACTTCAAAGGGAGCACACTGAGAAGACAAGAAACAGTACACATCTTGGCTTTGTCTATGTGACTATGCTCCATGCCCTTCGCCCCATTTGTTGTCATTACAAGAGCACTCAACAGCTTCAAAAATGATTCTTTATATGCACAAGATGTCTCGCAACTCGAGCCATGGAGGGGGTTTTGTCCACCCGATTGCATGCACTGCTTCCAATTCAACGCTGATTGGACACCGTGCCAGTGGCACAAAATGAAGCATTGCTGCAATGCAGGACTGACCCACATGTACACCTCCAAATCAATTCTTACAATCGTGGCAAAGTCCTCTGCATGTCGTGCAGTGGGAGGCTGTCCATGACGTGCAGCCTCTCTGCAACAACAATCAACACAAACTGGACAAGTCGCCATCTTTGATAGAGACCCTCCTGCTCAGGTCTTGCTCCACAAGCCCAGTGGGTCACAGTTATAACGCATCGGTGCATGAGCCGGCAAAATCTCCGAGGCACTATGAAAAAGGGTACGTCAGCGGGCGCCCAACACGAACGCACCGTACGCAAGCAGCGCCCCGAAGCTGCCCATCGCGATGTACACCAAATACTCCACCAGCTCCTCGTGCCATCCGCTTCCGGCTTCCAATTTCACGAAGCTCCACCCATCCACGCCGTCCACCACTCGTGCCGTCATCTACTGCAACCGACCGGACCGAACGTCACGCCGCGCCCCGCACTTCCTAGGGCACCGATCAAGCCAGCGTCGGGCCACCTGCCTTTGTGGTCTCCCGCACCCCACTGGCCCACCCCTCCCCCCTCCAACACCAACCCAACCCCGTCAACCCCAAATCCAAAGATTGAAAGCACTACACAAGCATCCAATTTCCAAAGTTTAACCACACAACCATCCATTCTCCAAGCTTTTACAACACAAACAACCAATTTCCAAACTCTGAAAACTGGCGCCACTTTCCTGCATTCGGTGATCAGGTGGCACCGATCGTGGGAAACTGGATGGTGGCGTTGTACAAGTTTGACAGCAAAGCCATCCAATTTCCAAAGTTTGACAACAAAACCACCCAGTTTCCAAGCTCTCACAACACAACCATCGAATCTCCCAAGATCGGTGCCTCCGCCCACCCGATTGCCCAAATTTGCAAGAAAACAAGCGCCATGGGCGCCGGGATTCCGCCGGCTGGGGGCAGGCGCACTAACCCACAGAGCGACCGCCAGCGTCAGCATCGAAGTCAGGCCCCAGCTCTGGCCCTCCACCATCACGGACAGCGGCACCCTGCGGCCCTCCAGGTCCCGCGAGCAGCAGTCACCGCCGCAGCAGCAGCAGCACAGGGCGCCGTCCGCCATGGCGCCGCCGCCCGCGGAGGGATGGCCCCCGGAGGAGGGTGGCTGCCCCCGCGGGGTGGTGGCCGCTGCAACCAGCAAAGCCCAAGGTCCGGTGTCTGCCGGGGCGGTCCCGCTGTTTCGAGGCGAATCAGCCGTAGTCGGTCAGATCTGTAACGTCATGCTGCTGTTCGCAACACCGCATAATGATCACCGTTTCACTGGGTGGGTCACTTATGCATTATGGTGTGCGACTTGTATGCATTTTAAGAATATTGTTTATATGCAAGTCATTCTGAATTTAGAAAAAGAAAAGAAAAATGCGTGTTAGAATTCACAGAATTACTTTTCTTGTGATTGAGCATCAATTTGATTGTTGTGGGAGATGCCATCTGATTCAGAGACAAATGCTATGGCTAGGGTCGCGCTCACACCTGAAATATTTCTGCATTGCTATTGAGTGTACGGGCGCCTTTAGTATATGTGTTATAGAGTGGGTTGTATTGTGGCGATGAGTGGGCATCTCTGAAGTGCGGTATGGCTGGTTGGTGATGGATGATGGTCCTTGTCAAATGAAAAGGAAAGTTCTGTGGGTGCAAGGAGATCCGAACTGTTCGGTTGCCGGGCTCGTTGCCACCGTCGGCAAAGCTCTTCCTTGTGGGAAGGGTGAACAAATATGTAAGCCCCGGCGGTTTGTGTGTGGTGTGGCCTTGCATCTGGCCGTGTGCCAACGCCGTTGAAGCATCGGTGACCGTGGACTCGCGCTTCCCGTGTGCACTGCAAAGGGGGCCGTTTGAATTGCATCAACGGCAATTCCTTCAAGAGCTGCATTATTGTCGCTGGGCGAACGTTCGCCTTCACGGTTTTACGTTCCTCGGCATGCTGCCCGATGGGTATCACCATGGACTTGCTTCTTGTGAGGGTGTGAGACGAGCGAGGCGTTCAGCCACCGACTTGGGACCATTTGGAGTCTCATCAAGCATGGCCACCCCGTCACAAACACCCCCTCGCAACACGCTGTGAGGCGAACTCTGCACACGACCAGCCGGTCAAATACAAAGATCTGTTCACCTTTTCTGATGCCCTCAAAGTCTATGGATGCCGCCAAGCACGAAAAGGCTAGATTCCGGCCACGTCAAAACCCATGGTCAGCGCACCAACCTCACTAAATTCGTCTATACACTAGCAGAACACTGATGAAATGCATACATGTGTGTTCGCCAAAAAAAGTTTTATTTGGTTCTTTTTCTGCACACTAAGGACACGAAAATAACCCAAAACCGTAAAATATGCACACGTTTGAACACGTGCTATTTGCCCCCTTTTTTCTAGTTATACCGGCGTCACCGGCCTAAGACAAAAATAGTGCGTTAGCTGCCTCAACGCCCACTGGGTGTTCCCGATGCGGACCATGGATAAGGGGACTCCTTTCACACACACCCTAAACCCTAGAGTCCAAAAGCCCAGAGCTCAAACGCCCAGTCACAACCTGTCTCCTTCTCCGTCATCGTCTCCATATGCGTGGTTCGTGTGGGAAGCAGAGTGGGCTTTTCAAAAAAGCACTACTGTAGTACGTCAAAACCTTGACATTTTGCAATTTTATTGTCATTCTTTTGTGGCGATATGTTCCTTGGCATGCTGCCCAATGGGGTTCGCACAGGATTTTCTTCCTGTTGACTATTGCTGGAAAGAAAAGAAAACGGGACACTGGGCGGAATCTGCACCGCATCGCTCATCTGCGGGGCGGCGAGAGTGGAGTGGAGAGTGCCGGGTGCCGTTGAGGAGGGGCGCAAAGTGCCACGCGGATTGCTTCAGAGGTCGCATGTAAGCGGTTTGCCTCGATATGAGTGCCAACCCATGAGAACGGATAGAAGCAAGTCAAATGGTCCGGGCGGAGTGAGTGCACTGGGCACAGGCCTTGCGCAATCTGCGGTGTCACCACGTGTCACGGTCTTAGAGCGCGATGCAAGAGGTTTCTGTGGCTATCTCAAAAAGCACCGGACAGCCACGGACGATGGAGGGTGTGATTCAAAACTTCGCTTCCCCAAACTTAGCTGCTGAAAAACGTCGATTCCGCAAAGCGATGGGCGCTTAGCTCAATCCTCGCCATTGGCCAATACCCTCGATCATGCGCTGTGAAAGTGTCTCATCTCCGATCAGGCAAATTCGCTTAGGCTTTCAATTCATATCCAACGCTGGTTAGCGCGGCCTGGATGGGGCGTAGCCACAAGCATGAATCCGCAATTTAAAGGTCAGCCTGCAGAAGCACTGCGGAGCCGTATGTTCACCTGCTCTAGAGGAGTTCCGTTTCCGTTCCTTGTGGATCTACAAGGAGCCATCTGCGAGAATATCGAAGAATCGCAGGCTCCCCATTCGCCAAGTGTAGAATATTCCGCTTCAGAACATTGTACACTTGGCGAATCCCCGTGGCTATCAAGAAGTTATATACCACATCATATCATTCATAGCTGTGCAAGTAAGTGTGATGAACGTCGACAGAATTGGAGCCTTGCCCCATCATGGGCTGCGGATATTTCCTTTGTTGCATCTTGTGCGTGCAATTGGTCCACAATGGGTGTGTACTATCTGCGGTGGTGCGCCATGGGTGTGTGGCGTTTGGGATTGCAGCATTCTGAGCTTGCAACGTCTGAGAATGCCCAGCCAAGTGTGCGCGACGACTCCTGGTGCCAGTGCATAGACTTGAGAGCTTCAATCTGAGTTGATGGTGACGCAAATCACGACCAATCTGGCCTGCGTGCGGAAGAAATAAGGCAATGTATGAACGAGTGACAGGTGAGCATACTCTAGCATTTGGGTGCAGTGGGGAGGCCGTCGTGCCGCAGCGTGAACGAATAGCATGAATTAGACAGTATCTCCTGTAACACCTTGGCCCAAATACTCTTTTGCCTCTTGGGATCGCCTACGGGGTTCTATCCCCTTCCGTGGCACCCTCATGCGAGTGCTGCTCTGAAGTCGCCAGTCACAAATCGGTGGGAATGCATGTCATCTTCGATGTAATCACCAAAGGCCAAAAGATTCGCCATTTGTGGTCATTGCCCTGGTGGCACGAGACGGAACACCACACCTGCAATCGGGCATGGACAAAATAACAAGAGCTATGGACACAAGATTGAGGTTTCTTGTCTTTTAATACTGGACACAATCAGGGTGCGTGTGTCGATCAATGATCGGGCTTAACGATTGGCCAGTATTGTATGCCCTGCAGAGCATGGATTGGCATGGTTTTGTAAATCGTGCACCGTTTTACATTATTCAAGTGTGGAAATCACATACTTTGTACGCAGTTGTATACAATTGTTCGCTCAACTTCATGTGCCTTTCCCAGTCCTGTGGTTAAGTGAAATGCTTGCACCTGGGCTCTGCGGAAAACACGATATAAAAGGACGACTGCACACGGCTCCAGCAAATCGACAGAAACTTGTGCACCAAAATGCGAAATTAACACGAAACTGCACCATTCAGCACGAATTCGTACAGTTCAGTGGAATTCGGCCGATTTTCACCAGTCTTTGCACTAAAAGGGCGAATGGTAAATATGGAAGAGACCACGCGGAATATGGGGCACATTAAGCATAGCCTTTTAGAGTGAAGAGGATAAGTCTGAGAAATTGGGTCAGGGTTAGCTGAATATTCAGCTGAGGCTGCAGAGCTGACCCTGTTAATAAATTAACAATCCTGTGTAGTCGTATCCTTCGATTCTAACTGGTCAAGTCTCCATATTGATTAATAAATGGAGGTCTCTTGGAGTATCCCGGGTTCCAGGCGTGGAAACGTACGGACCAGGATCTGGGGCAGCAAGACCTCCGAAGGCTGTGCACATGTGCACAGCCTGAATTATATCGTTTTGTGTCGTACAACACAAAACGACATTATTGCAAATGACGCAGCTTCAAAGCAGGTACCAGTTTACACCAGGTTGCCTGCAAAACTGAGTCATCAGTCTGTGGTGGGGCCCGCCAATTCATTGCAGCAAACGTTGCGATTGGCAACTCGCCAATCAGCGTGCCTCCCATGCCCTTGCGCCATCCCCTTCTTAATGCAACCAAGGCGAACTGTCAACTCGATTTTGCAGATTTCAGATGAGGAACTGCCGGAGGCAGACGAAGGAATGGTGTGAGTCTGTTGCACCGCCCCTGTTCTCCTCAAGTGGCAAGAGGGTAAAAGCACTGCACTGTCGAGAGGGCGAAACGCCTTGTCTTGTTTGCACCTTGTCGCCTGGTCCATGCAGGTCTCAATTTCCGATATGACTGCGATCACGAGTTGATCTGGATGGCATCATAAAGATCAGGGGCGTGGCTCCCTGGTGGGGAGTTCTCCGGTCGCTCTTGCGCACCACAGGTGGGCGCCAGAGAGGAGCGAGCCTCGCAGGAGCAAACGGGGTGCTTCACGCTGCCCCTGATAATTATACTGCGTCCGCCAAAAATTGGCCCAAAGCGCGGGCGCTTTGAGGCCTCAATTCAAACAAAGGCCTCCGGCAAGATTTCAAAAAAATCAAAATCCTTCTATCAAAAAAATCCCTCTTGCGAAAAAATACTTCTTTCAAAAATTCCTCTTTCAAAGAAAGTCCCTCCTTTAGAAGAAGCCCTCTTCCAAGAAAAGTTCCATCCTAAAAGATAATCCCCGTTTCCGGCCCACCTTCCGTCGGGTCACCTCACCTCTAGAGTGACGTCAGCTTCTCTCCCTCGCCCCACAAAACTGCCCGCGCTTCCAATCTCCTGCCATGCATGCCGTGCCGCCCCCACACAGCACGCCCCCATATTCCAAACCGTCGCGCCCGAACACCGGTCACCGCCGCTCAGACTTCACCCCCACCCCGCCGCCCCACCCCCCAACACCCCCTTGTCTTGATCCCCGCCTGCAGAACCAAGCTCGAGGAGCCGATCGCCGCGCGAAGCCGGCCAGGCCATTTTTCATTCCGACCGGCAGGGCCCCTCGGGGCACGCAACGCCAGCCGGGGCCTCGCGGCGCCGATGCAGCGCGGCCAGGCCCAGAGGCCGCGCGGC